CATCTGCTTTGTATTTAATTGTATAAACCCATCAACATCAAATTATTTTCTTTTTTGATGGATAATCAACAAGTTCCTATGTATTAATTTAGCAAAGACTTCATTTCCTCATTCATAGCTACTCTCCACCTTGGGTCCATGAAGACTTCTTACACATTGTTAGGAATAGATACACTAGATAATTGATTTGTAAATAAATGATTTGATTCTAACAAACAATGATTAGACACATAATGGCTCATTGGATATCTAATCTTATTGGAAATTTCATATTCATAAGTGGGTTTAAGGATACCTATATTGTATCATGGTGGTAGTTGTTTTTTTGGACAATTCAACCACTAAATTATTTTTTGGACAATTCAACCACTAAATCAAAAGCATCGCCAGTCATCGATTGGTTTGGTATGACAATTTCTTGAGAAGCTACATGTTTCTTCGATAGTGGTGAACTTGTTACTTCCATTTCTTGATCATCTACCACTGCTACCTCCCACTTCTCTAGATAATCTTATTTCCTTAAATACACTCATATCATTATCTAAAGTCTTGTTGCTCCCCCAAACGATATGGCTTAAAGGAAAAATACATGGAGTATTCATGGAAAACAACATCGAAGGTAATATACATCCTTTGAGTTGGAGGGGTGATAACATCTATATCCCTTTTGATGAGTAATATATCCAAGAAAGACACAACGCAATGCTCTAGGAGCTAGTTTGTTGCATTGATGCATATAAAGATGAACATATATGTTACACAACCAAATATGTGAGGAGTCAAATTTGGGACAGTTGGTGTAGTAATTACTTCAACAAAGGCATGCAATGGTGTTTGAAATTCAACAGTGCTGGAGGGAACCTAATTAATCAAATATACAACAAAGATAATTTCTTTTCCTCAATAAGATAATGACATACATGCTTCTATTAATAAAGCACAAACAACTTCCAACAATGATGATTATTTCTTTCACATACTTCATTTTGCTAGGGTGTGTTAGGACAAGTTGTTTAGTGAACAATTCCTTCTATTTTCAAGAATTGTTGAAATTTAGAGATTAAATATTCACTCCTATTATCACTACGTAGAATCCACATATTTATACCATATTAAGTACAAATCACTTTATTAAACCTTTGAAATGAAAAATTTACTTCACTTTTGGACTTCGTCAAACATATCCAAGTCATTTTATTGCAATCATCAATAAACGTAGCAAACCAATGAGATCCACCTAAGGTGGCCATCTTGTATCGACCCCAAATATCAGAATGTATAACCATAAAAGGAATTTTACTTTTATTCATGCTTAATGGAAATGAGACACTATGACTCTTTGCAGCTTAACAAACATCACGCTTAAAACATGAAATATCACATTTTGCAAATAATCTAGGAAACAATTTTAAGGTATCCAAAGGAAGCATGTCTCAAACATCGATGTCATGGCCAAATCTCATGTTTACTTCATTTTTATTTAGATTTGCCCACTGTCAATGTTTGGTGTGATTGAGTTGAAATACGTGACTCCAATTAAGTTCAAGTAATGTAACCCATCATATCTTGTTCCATAACCAATCATTTGCTTTGTTTTGATGTCCTTAAATACACAATATTTTGGCCAAAAAATTATAACACAAGATAAAGTAGTGACAATTTGATAAATGGACAAAAGATTGTAATTCAAAGATGGAACATCTAAAGAAAAATTTAAACTCAAGATATTAGTGAGAGATAGGGATCCTTTCCTAGTGACAATTGTAGAGGAACTATTAGTTGTGAAAATAAGTTTTTTTTTGGAGAGGGTATAAAAGATGATATTTGTCCAAAATCAAATCTCATATGATTTGTGGCTTTAGAATCAATTATCCATGTACTATTAGAAACAAGTGCAGTTAAATTTAAAGCCTTACCACCATTGTTGCTACCAAAGCTGGTGATTTTCCAACAACATCTTCTTGATTAATTTTTTGTTGTAGCTGCAATAGCGAAAGTTTTGGTTGAATGCCTCTTTTGTGGATCCCATTATGGTCCCACCATTTTGGGTATCTCACAAGTTCAAAACAATGATCCTTTGTATTACTAGATTAGTTACAATAAGTACACTTAAAGGTAGATTTAGGTGAAATTGTTAAGGTCTTGGAGTAATTGTTCCTCATCTGTTCCTATTATTTTTTTAGATGATCCATTTTAATTGGATCTATTCTTGTCCATCACGGTTGAAGCTTTAATTTTTTTAAGTTCTCTGTTCATTATTGTTTGTCAAACAAACTCATGGTGATTCATTGAATAACATTTTTCTAATTTTGGGACATGGCCCTTTCTTATGATTCCACCACGAATCTATTCCAACTCACCACCCAAACTGGCAAGAAAAATACTCACTCTTTGTCATTGATCAGACTTGTGATAAGTTAGAACATCTTTCTCACATTCCATAATTACCTCATCACAATGATCCAATTCATTGTAAATTTCAACCAAATCTCCATAATAGGTAGAAAGTGATTTCCATTTTGTTTGACAGAAGAAGCTTGTTGAAGCTTGTTGATGCAATGTGAAAACTTGTAGTTCTTCTACTCCCTCATAAAAGGCTTTTTATAAAGCTCTCCAAATATCTACAACAGTTTTAAGGCATATATATTTCATGATGTCTAGAGACATAAACATTAGCAACCATCTTTTAACTTTTTGATTATCGACGTACCACTTTTTGTATCTATATTTCTTCTATATTTCTTTTCGGTAGATGGTTATATATTATCACGAATAAGCAAGAACTTCTCCTTTTTAACAAAATGCATCTCCATAATTTAAGATCACATATCATAATTTATTTCATCGAGAATGATCCCTACATTAAAGGTGAACTCTATGATTGAACAGTAATTTAGACAATAATAAACTTACTCATATTGATTTTAGCATCTCCATAATAAGACTTTCTCATGGTGTTGGATATGAATTATCTCTCATATCAAGTCAAAGTTTATGAAAATTATATTATTACTGTACGAAACTGTACATGGAATATATAGACATCAATTACGAAGTGAGAAAACTAATTATAATTTCTTGATTTACAGAAAATTAAATCCTTGATTTATGAAAAAAAATTTGAATCCCTTCAATTAAATAAAATATTCCAACAAAAATCACATGCGACCTAATCTAGAATTAATAGAAGATAGCCATTTTTTCTTATACAAAAAATATTTATTTTTTAAAAGTCTTAGCTGGCTATTGTACATGATAACCGTAGGAACACAAAAGTAATGAATAAATATAATGAAGAAAAAATACAAGTGATGTGTAGAATGTCACCTTGGACGGAAAGAACACTATAGAACCTCCAAACGACCATTGGGCCCTAGCGTCACAACCTTGTCCGCTACAATGATAGCCAAAATTTCATACCTGAATATTGATGCCTTAAGTTGAAATTTAACAGTGCCGACAAACCCTAAAACTTTCCCAACTATCAATCATAATTCATAACTGCTCGTGTTTTTCTTTTCATCCATAGCAACGTTAAAGATAAGAATACCGAAAATAGAGAATGCATGTGGTTATGTTACGCATCATTTTGATATGTGTTAGCCTCACGTGTGATACACCAATGAGACAGTGACAAGTTGGACCCATATCACACGAGCCAATCACGGAAGAAATGGATGTGGTGGGGTGGCCACACATACAATTGTTTTCGCCTTCTAATTATACCACTACATAGATCCTTAATTGACTATAATAAATTATTAACTTAATGATCTACATTATGAGTGATGTTTCCTACTGCAGGGGACGCTTATGTGGTAAGATTTGAAGAAAAGGTTGTTTGTCTTTATCGTCATGCAGCAAGTGTAAACAAAAAGAATATGTTCGCATAATCCAAGGAGAAAATTGAATTGTTGATTGAGGATAATGGCCATATACCTCCACCTTAGCAACACAATAATAAAATAATAATAATTAAAGAATAACAAATAGTTCTTAATTAAAACCCATGATTACGTGAGTTGTTCCATGAGAAGATTAAATGGTGGGTAAAAGAGGCATGTGAATTGCGAACAATATTTTCGGAGACAATATCATGTGTTTGCCATTGCCCAAGTGGGTTTTACTGTGGAATGTGGAGACTCTATGAAGAAAACAATTTGGAGTAGAGCCATGTAACCCAAAATAACTATATATCTAAAATCAAATTCAATGCGATATACTTTGCTCCTTCTCCTGTTATTCTAAATGCTATAAACAAATAACTTTTCTTTTGTTATGGTTACTTGCTAGTTGAAAGCCTGGCCCATGATTATCTTTAACAGGCCCGCTTGATCCTACAAAGGGGCCATTTTTAATGGTTATGGTTTTGGAAAACCCCATGCTCATTCCCTTTGGGCCTGAGTGGGTGAGACAGAAGTATAGAATAGTGCCCTAACCCAAAACAGACCACAATCACTGTGCTTATAAATTTCATTCCT